CCAACCTCTTCCATCCCAAATTTTTCCAGATATCTCCTTCGTGCGAATAGTCTCTGGGAGGTTCAGCTGCATGAAAGGCTCCCAATCGCTGACTGAGATCCAAGTCCCAATGCCGATAGCATCCTGTGTCCTGGTTATTTGTTAGTGCAGTCTTTTCTTTAATAGTCTGGAGGTCTTTTCCTTTTTGCACATGCCATGCCATGAGTGTATAGGGAATGTGTTGCCACGGCCTGAGCTCTTTCCAACAGTTCTGACAAAGTAGGCTCTCTGGGTGGAGCAGGCTGCTGCTTCAGTTGAACTCAGATGCATTACTCTCTGCCTTCCTTGTTTTTTGGATCATTTTCCTTCATACATTTCTGGAAGCTGTCAGAGATATGACAGTGTTTATTATGCTCAGTATGCACATTAATTCTCTTGGCAAGAATCTTTGTTTACAAGAATTGTCTACACTGTTAAAGGATCATTGTTTGCAACAATGCTGGTAGCATGCTGGTAACATGTAGGCTCTTCCAGTGTTGCCATGGAAATTTTCATGGGGCTTTCTGCAGTGAGCATTACCCATTCCTTCGATGTGAACAATTTCACTTTTGTAGCTGTGCATATATATTTGGCCAAAGTAACAACTCCATGTTTTCTTTTTTTTTTTAAGATTTTATTTATTTGTTTGCAAGTTAGAGTTACAGACAATGAGAGGGAGAGACAGAGGGAAAGGTATTCCGCCTGCTGGTTCACTCCCCAAGTGGCTGCAACACCCGGAGCTGCGCCGATCTGAAGCCAGGAGCCAGGAGCTTCCTCTGGTCTCCCACATGGGCGCAGGGGCCTAAGGACTCAGGCCATCCTCTACTGCTTTCCCAGGCCACAGCAGAGTGCTGGATTGGAAAAGGAGCAGTCAGGACTAGAACTGGTGCCCATATGGGATGCCGGTGCCACAGGCGGAGGATTGACCTACTGTGCCACAGCGCCGGCCCCAACTCCATGTTTTCGAAAAGGCCTGCAGAACATGTATTGGTACCATTTCTCCTTCCCTTTGTGTTCAACTTTTTGGTGAATTACTGGAACACAGTAGTTCCTGACAGAAAGACAGTCAAGTCTAGAGTAGTCCATTCGTCAGCCTGGGAGTGGCATCCACTTGAGAATGACAAGGGGCATGGAATGTCCATTGACTGTCTTGTCTGTGAAGCCATTATGAGCCCTTGCTGTGCACAGTTTGGCATCATCTAACTGCAAGGGATCAAGGCAGTCAAAAGGATAGTGGAGTGCATTTTCAAATGTAACTCTGGTTGGCCAGAATCTGCCACATGACAGAACAGCAACTCCCTTATGACATTGTATCAAGTATCCCACATGCCTGTGAATACCACCAGATGGCAGCAGAAGACCAACATGTTGTATTGCCAAGAAATGACAGGCCTACCCCTTCAGCCAAACACAGACCTATCAGCTGCTGACAGGTGCCACCATCCTGGTAGTCCATTACAATCGCACAGTATACAGTAGGAGGCACAATTTTGCACCCATGTGTTATTGGTACAAGACTAATTTATCCAGTCCCACAATAGGCTGAGATAATGATGATAATCTCCAGGACTATGCAGGCCCAATCATCTTCATTGTCCCATTCAATCTTATGGTGGTATCACTATTCCCATGGGCATCCACATAAGGTACAAAGAAAGGCTTGACAGGCTGCAGTAACTGATGGCCATGGCTTGCAGCCCCACTGTAGAGTGTCCCCAACACAGCAGACATCTCCCAGTGATATATAACCACACAAAAGAGAAGGTGAAAGGGGCAGCCTGTCCCTCAGGAGTGTGACCCGAGGCAGGAGCACTGGCTGTCTGTCTAGCTCATGGACTGCAAGCTTTTACTCAGTCTCTTCACCCTGACTTCTCATGGACTAGGTCACTGCTGCCACCTAGTGGAAGATTCAGTATTTAGTGGGCTGAGTTTTCAGTCAACCAAGCCCAAGCACCCTCAGGGAGGAGTGTTCTAAGGCCTTGGGAATGGGAAATCTGCTTGATGTCCAAGTCTGTCCTTAGGTCTTAGGGGTCCCAGGCAGGATGGGGAGTTCTGGGTGCAGTGGGGACTGGCACTCCTTTCTAAGACCCAGGTCTGCACAAGTGCCAGTAGCTTCATCCCTAACAGAGTGTAGCAGGGAGCCCTGCTCCAAAGGGGGCTCGGGGCCCCCTATCACACTTCATCACAGACTCCACTCAGCATGCCTTCAGCAGCACATACCTGTATCCCCACATATCCTCGGGTTTACAAACCCTCAAGATAGGGCTGCCAAGACACCTCTTCAACCACTTCTGAAAAATCTGTTGCAAAGTTGTCCAAATAACCTTTGCGTAGAACCTGTCTCAGCTCTATCTAGGCAGTGAGCACATAGCTATCATATTAACTGTTGTCATTGACCCACATGGTCCTTGCTGCATATTTCTTTTCTTATAGGCAGGATTCAAACTTCGTTTGATTACTGAGCCGGAAGTACACTGGGCCAATGACTGAACATTTCACATTCACGATACTTACTGCAAGCAATACTTGACAAATTCTAGAGAAACGCACACATTGTAAGTATAATTTATTAGGCTTTAGGAGATATATGATAACCTTTGGGTAGCATGAAAAATATATTGTTAGAGGATCAGCAACAGGAGTGCCCAGCCTCCTGCAGGATGGCAATAGACTTGAGTTAGAGAAAAATGAATCCTTTAAAGGGGTCTTTGATGCTGAAATACTGAAATTGTTCTGGGGTACACAGATCTGCAATATTAGCAAAGAGACACTCAGCAAGGGATGTTCCAGACTCCCCTTTCTCCTATTTGTTTTATCAAAGTATGAATTTGTGTGATTATCAAAAAATTCATAAAAATGTATGCTGTGAAAAAAATACACATAGATTCAAAATTTTTTAAAGATTTAGTTATTGTTTTGAAAGAATTATAGAGAGAGCAGGAGTGAGGGAGAGAGATCTTCCATCTGCCAGTTCACCATCTAAATGTCTACAAAGGCCTGGTCTGGAACAGGCTTACCCAGGAGCCAGGATATTTCCTGGGGTCTCCAAATGGTGGAGGGAGCCTCGTACTTGGGCCATTTCTGCTGCTTTCCCAGACCATTAGCAGGGAACAGCATTAGAAGTGGAACAGCTGGGAGTCAGACTGGCCCCCACTTGGGATGCTGAGGTCCCGGGGGCAGTTTTCCCAGGACAACACAATCCCAGACTCTCAAGCTTTTTTGAACCAAAACAAATTTATCTCTTAATTGCATTCTTCTCCCATGACTTCTGAAGCACTCTGTCATTGCAGGGGATAGCAATGGCCACACCAGCACAGAGGCCATAAAGATCTGCTGTGACCAGGCTGGGAAAGACTTGCAGATGCCCTGTGCTGTGCAGGTGGTGTGCTTATCAGTCAGCTGGAAGGAGATCTCCCGACCAAGGGCAAGGAGCCAACTCTGCTCACCCCAGGGCTTGTCTCTGGGGATGAGGTCAGTGCACGATGTCACCATGGAGTCACCAATTCCTCTGGAAACTACAGCAGGTGTCCTTCATCAGTCTGGGAATGAAGTAAAACTAATCAGCAGGATCGTACTGCTAGATAGGATACTTGTTCAAATTTTGGATGGTTTAAGTTCTGAGTCTAAGATTAATTAGCTCATTGAATTCTCTCAGATGACTGAGTTTAGGAATATATTGTAAAAATCTAGCTGACACATGAGAATTGTACATATTTGTAGATTAAGATTGGTATTTTGACACATGGATGTAACATACAGTGGTAAAACGAGGGTAATTAGCAAATGCATCACCTGATAGAGTTTTCTTTGGTTGGGAACGTTCAAATCCTCTATTCAAACTACTATTAAGTGCACAATAAATTATTGCCCACAGCAGTCCCCCCACTGTGCTATACAGCGTTAGAGCTGAGCCCTCAAGTGCACTGCCATTTTGTGCTCGCTCCTTAGCCCTTCCCCACCCCTTCCTCTCTCTATATTCACAGTCCTGGGGACCACTGTTCACTCTCCACTTCTCTTTCTGATAAAAATTTTCAGCTTCCACTGTTAGGGGAGAACATGTGGTATCTTTCTTTCTGTGTCTGTCTTGTTTCTCTTAATATACTGTCCTTTAATTCTACCCACATTCCACCAATGACAGTTTCTCATTATTTATTTTTGCCCTGATCATGCTTCACTCTATGTCTAGGTCTATGTCTATGTCTATGTCTATGTCTATGTCTATGTCTATGTCCCTGTGAACACATCAGATTTCCTCTCCCCGTTCATCCACTGCAGGACACCTGGTCTATGCTGAGCAGTGAGTGCTGCACTCACATCTCTTCCCCAGCTCACGTCCTGTGCTGTGCACACACACCCAGGGGTGGGGTTGCTGGATCTGGGGTAGATCAGTCTTCAGGGTCTGAACAGCCCCCATGCTGCTCTCCATAGTGGCCATGCTAGTTTACATTTCCACCAGCAGTGTGTGAAGTCCTCCTTCCACTGCGACCCTGCCACAGCTGTGACTCTGTGTCTTTGTGATAATCATTATTCTGACTGGGGTGGGATGAGAACTGACTGTGGCTTTGTTTGCTCTTCCCTGGAGATGGTGATGGTGAGCATTTCCTTATATACTTGGAGGCCATGTCTATGCCTTCTTTTGAGAAATCAGACAAATGATTTCTTCAGAGAGAACCTGAAAGAAGTTTTAGTCCCTGTGAAGGTGAAAGAGGGGGGCCTGCTTCCCAGCAAAGCTGAGCCCTGTTGGCTGGAGTCAGATCCTCCGTTCCTCCCAGTGTCACACCCAGAGACCCGCGTGCACTGTCATTGTCAGTGCTGGGCTCTGCCAGGTCCTCAACCTGCAGTGTCAACCCTGTGCCCTCTTCCAGTCCCTCAGTGGAATTCCTGTGCCTTTGTCATTTACAGTGGCAGTGTTGTTATCTCAAAATTTTCTAATCAGTGTCCACCAAGGACCCCAGAGCTGAGAAAGTACAATGGTGGGAGAATGTGCAGAGTTTAGAAGTAGAAGGTGGCGTGCTCATAGGGATTCAAAAGCCATTCAATTAGCAACATGTGTGTTAATCAATGTGAAGCTCATTTCAGGGGACAGTGGATAGTATGCCCCCAAGCACTTTCCTGCAGGACCTGCCTGGTTCCTAAGGAGAAGGGACATGGCCCGGGGCAGTGTGAGCTCAGCTCCTCAGGTATGTGAGCTGTAACCCCTGTGGGCTTGGGCTCCTGTACAAATAGCAGACCCTGCCCTGCACCACCCCTGAGACAGCTGCAACCTGCACCTCGCCTGGCTTCGGGGATTGCGCTGGATCTGCAGACGCAGGACTGGTAAGAGCCTCTCTCTCTCTCTCTCTCTCTCTCTCTCTCTCTCTCTCTCTCTCCAGAGCTTCATTTCCTGCCCCACTTCCCAGATTGAGGATCCCAGTGTGATAGGAGGAGGCTGTGGGACATGACTGAGCCGTCAGCTGGTGTATTAGGTCTAACATCCACCCTCCGTGGCTCTGGCCCACTCCCATTCCCTGGAGGTGGCCCAAACTCAGGTGGAAATGCGGACAGGGCCATTTTCTAGGCCTGCTCCCTCTATAAACTAATGTCATTCTTTTTTTAAAAAAATTGTTTATTTATTTGATAAGTAGAGTTACAGACAGTGAGAGAGACAGAGAGAAAAGTCTTCTATTGGTTCACTCCCCCAATGGTTCAAGGGCGGGAACTGCGCTGATGTGAAGCCAGGAACCAGGTTCCTTCCTGGTCTCCCATGTGGGCACAGGGACGCAAGCACTTGGACCATCTTCTACTGTTTTCCCAGGCCACAGCAGAGAGCTGGATTGGAAGAGGAGCAGCCGGGACTAGGACCGGAGACATATGGGATGCTGGTGCCACAAGTGGAGGATTAACACATTGCGCCACGGCGCCAGCCCCACAATTCTTTCTTTTTGGGAAAAGATCTCAGCTTACGTGAATCATCTTATCAGTGCTAAATCCCTCGTGGTTCATAGTTGTCATCTTTTTGAAGCATTGTCTGAAGGTTAGGCAATAGGTGCAGTGTAGGCGGATCTACAAGAGGTGGCAAGAAAGGACAGGGAGATGGGGTGGCTCCCTGCGGGGCTCTGTTGCTCCACTCCACGGGACCAGCACAGTTACTTACCTGGCGGGGCATCACGGTCGGGCTCTTCCTTGGGGCTGTTCCTGTAATCAGCCTGGTTGTAGGGTTCTTGTGTGGATTAAACCAGGTGAGACTGGAACACTAGACCAGTGCTCAGCGTGTCGTCTGTTTCTGATAAAAATGGACTTCTCTTCTTCTGGCCAGTGTGGACTGATTGATGAAATCTGTGCAGTCTCTGGTGATCCTGGGAAGGAAGTAGACCCCTTGCTCCACACTGGGAAGAGAGGGGACCTAGCAACGAAAAAAGGTGTGACAGAGTGGCCTGGGAGGAAGCAGGTGCCTTGGTCCAGAATAAGCTGTTCCCCTGTGCAAGCCTGCAGGATGATTTTTAAGGGAAAAAGGGGAGTTGTGGAGGACAGGGGGGACAATGGTCATGAAGTTCTTAGGAGAACAGTTGAAGTCCAGGACTAGTAAGGGAGGAGTCACCAGCCTGGTAGTTGGTTCTGGTTAGTTACAATGTGAAGTAGGGAAGGGAAATGCATTTGTGTATGGATTCTGTTGGCACAGACAGCCTTGAATGAATTCAGTAACTTTTGTCATGGATCGGTAAAGAACATGTGTATGCTTAGCACGCAGGGCCCAGAACCCAGTCAGGTGCGATTTGTCACCTGCACTCAAACACTGTCTAAAACTCGCTGCTCCCCTCCCTGTTTCTCTTTCCCACTGGGGTCAGACGAGCTCCCCTCTTCATACCTTCCCTGAGCTATTACTCCTCCAAGACAGCTCCACCCCACTCCCACCCCACCCAGCCCCTGTGTCAGACTCCATGGGGTTCAGCCTCTGGGTCACCTCCTGGCACCTTCAGCACTCTCCCTGCCCCCTTTCCATCTTGGGTCCTGGGTGTCTGTGGAACAATGAGATAGAGACCAAGCACGGGGCAGCAGGAGGAGTTGGTGATGAATTCATGCAGACCTTGAGTGCCAGGTGCAGGAACTGAGGCACAGAGGAGGAAATGACATTTCCTGGAAGAGATTAGGACACAGATGGGACAGACTCCCTGGTCAGTGCTATTTACAGTTCCCAGGGATCAGTCTCATATTCTTAAAGACCCAAGGCGTTCTCATTCACCTCAGTGTGTAGACAACCTAACTAGTGCATGGCATGCAGTAGGTGCTCAGTAAGTGCTTGTTGAGTGAGTGCTGCAGGACAGAGTGGGTGAGAGGAGCAGGAGTGTGTGAGTGAGGGGACGAGGGACTGAGCGCTCACAAGGCTCAGTGAGTGCCGAGGGAAGGTGAGGACTGGCAGCCTGGGTCACTGCAGTCTCAGGTCAGGTACACGTGGGAGAGGTTGGGCTGCTTGCCCAGGCATCCCAGAGCCAGAGGATGCTTGTCTCCTCTATGTAGGCAGGACTGTGGCAAGAGGGGAGAGGCCACCCTGTATCACTTTACTTCCACTTGTCCCTGACCCTACACAACGGAAACCAGCAACTCTTACCCTGAACCACCGACCCTGCACTCTGTCCTGTGCCTAACCTGCAGCACTAACCTCTGCAACACAGACCCTGCAAACAACCCTGAACCCTGACCCCTGCAACACTGACCCTGCACACTGACCCTGCACACTGACCCTGCACACTGACCCTGCACCACTGACCCTGCCTTTTGTCCACAGGTGCTCGCCCAGGTGAGCCATGTGGACCCGCACTCTCACCCTGCTCTCCATCCTCCTGCTGGCTGCTCAGGGGCTCCTGACAGAGGCCCAAAGTGGAGAACAGGATGAAGTGAATTTGGAGGCAGAGCAGGATGGGTGGGTTCCTCTGGAGAAGCCTGTGATAGTGTCCACAAGCCCGCCAACCCAGGTCATTGTCACTGGCAGCTTTGTCAGCAGAGACCAGGCCAAATGCAATGTGACCGTGACCAGGCAGGAGGAAGGAGTCCATCTGCAGGTCCATTGTGTTCGACTGCACCACGAGTTCTCCTGTGTCTTTGCGGGCAACCCCTCGGCGTGCCTGCACTGCCTGAACAACGACAAGGTCTACTGGAGACAAATTGGCTGGCACCTGCGCCATTTGAACCGCATCTGTGAGGACTCCAAGGCCATCTTGAATACCAGGGTGTGTGGTACCAAGTATCCAGAATCCAGTCTCACGCTGCTGAGCTCCACTCTGGCTTCCAAGACGTCTGTCAGGGAGCCCACCCCCATGGTGTGAGTCAAGGGGAAGCAGCCATCCCAGACAGAGCCATCCAAAGACACACATTAAGAGTTCTCCAAGGAGGCAATGCAGAGCAAAAGGCCCGCCCCCACCACAAGTCAAAACAAGATGAGCCCCGCCCACCAATCCAAGTAAGCATCCCAGAATAGTCAGCACGAGGGCCAGCAGGAACAGCAGCACCAGACACAGCCACCCCAGCAGGAGGATGAGCACTGGTCCCAGCAGAAGTCCCAGTAGATGACCCGGGAGTGACGGGCCTCCCGCAGCTTGTGCTGCAGCGTCGCCCTCGGCCCCAGTCTTCCTCCTGGGGGAGAAGAGCAGGTGCTTCAGGCAGGTGGTGTCTTAGGCTCCTCTGTGTGTGTGCAGCTCCCAGGTTCCCATCAGGCAGGGACGTCTGTGCTAGGAGAGCGCAGGGCGGTGTTGGGACAGAGTCTGTGTCCCGCCCTTTGCTGATGCTCACTTCCTGAGGTGTGATTGGCAGAGGCTGTGACCTGGGCGCCTGCCCCTGGGCCCCCAGTGCTGTCTCTGAGCTGAAGGAGTCAGCCTGGTGATTTCAGGGAGACACCTGCACTTCCTGCTGAATTCACAAGCATAATAAACTCAGGTGCTGTTTCAAAATGCTTTCACTCTGTGTGTGTCTGTGTCTGGTCCCACATGATCTCATCAACCTAAAACAGAATATCAGTGGGTGGAACAGCCAGGGTGGGACCTCCCCACCCATCCTCAGTGGTCCCCTGATATGACCCGGTCTTGTGCCCCTGTCTTCATAGATTGGTCCACTGGACTGTGGTGTTTGAATGGTATGCAGTGTGCAGATTCCAGGAGGGGAACCCAGTGTACTGTGGGGTTTGGATATGGTCAAGGTTGCATCGTTTGTATGGGAGAAGCAAGAGTGACCCAGGAGATCTGGCAGCCGAGACCACCAGCTAGAGGACCCCCTGTCCTCACTCAAGTTAGTCCAGCCAAGCCCTGCCATAGGCAGGGCCCCCGACTTGCAGAGCTCCTTCCTGGGCAGTAGGAGAGAGGCCTGCGTACACACAGCAGCCTGCGAGGAGGCTGTAACGGAAGGAGGAGGGAGGTGAAGGCATTTGCCCTAGAGGCCAAGATGCCCAGGGCTCAGTCACAGCGCCTGGGTCCAACACTGGCTCTGCTGCTTTCTCAGTTCCTGCCCATCCAGGCCCTGGTGTGCAGTGGTGGTGACTAAAGGAACTGGGTTCCCAACCCCCATGTGGGAGAAGTTGGTTGAGTTTCCAGCTCCATGTTTGACCCCCATTTGCTGTACGGCAGGTATTTGGAGTTAACCTGTGGAAGCAGAGCTCAATCTCTTTCTCTCTCCCAATCAATAATTAAAAAAAAAAAAAAAACCTGATCAAACACATGGGCAGTGCAGGCAGAAAGTGCTGGGAGACTTGGGGCTGAGATGAACAGAAACAGACTGGAGCCGCCCTCCTGAGCATCTCAGGAATGGAATGGGGTAACGGGAACCAAGCTGGCACAGGGCAGCCAAGGGATGTGAGAGTGGCAGAAGCTGGGCGAGGTCAAGAGGGAGGGGTGCAGGGGTGCCTGTAGTCATTCACACACTAGTATAAAATACCTGATGTGTTTTAACTTGGGAGTTGGGAGGAGCAGAAGAACTGTTGTCAGGCCCTTGTCAAAACACCACCAAGAAGGAAACGTGAGGAAGCAGGGTAGCAACACTGCTGCTTTTGGTGCCTCTGACAGGAGCCAGGAGGATGGGCAGGTGGGGGACAGGGCTACACTGTGCACTCACCAGCCCACCCTGAAGTTTATAGGGGTCAATGAGCAGGGTGACAACCTCACAGGGACATTTGGGTATCACACCAACTCCACTGACACCAACATCTGTCTCTCACTTGCTATGTACCAGGTACTGTGCTGAGTTCTTCCCAGGGACCATGCATTCACTCCCTCTCTCCCTCCCTCTAAGGACATAGAATTCAAAGTCTCATTGAGAGACAACCTCAAACCATTTGTTTGGAACCTCTGCAGAAA